TTAAAATATCCTACCAAGCACAACCCTATAGGCAATGGCTGTGGATTGGGGGATGCTTTTCCACGATAGAGATCAAGCTATGCTGTTTCAAAAACTAGAAAAGCCAATTAAAACTGATTAGAACACATTCTAGGATAATCATGAATAATCCAGGTTGTGATAGAAGGAAAACATGGTAGGACATTTTCAGCAATACAATAATGCAAATTAAATGTTTCTACTTACTACTTACAGAACATTCTATAAGTGCATTACTACAAGTGCAAGGCATGCATATGTTCCACATAATTGAAATATAACTTCAAAGCCTGATGAAGCCTTTGGGGTAGCAGTATGAAATACATGAATTAACATGGTTCATTTGAGGGTTCTTTAGACCTATCTGATTTGGGGGTCATACAAAAATATCTTGATGCTATTACTTATTTTCATTTTCACATTAAAGATTTACATAAAAACATTAAAAATTAGTAGCATATGGAATTGTTATCGAGTTAATAGAATTGCATTAATATTCCTGGCAGAAGTTGATTGCTAGCAGTTGTAGGACTGGGTGTGGCTTTGAGCTAGTTATCAGCTGGATGTTATCTTTGGCTCCTAGAGGTCACCTACAGATTATTGATACTCTGGCTTTCCCCCACTATGGCATTTACCTCATCCATTCAGCAAGGAGAATCCCTGCTGGCAGCAAATGTACTACCAAGACAGTTTTATTTGGCATAGTAGGTACAACATCCCTCACTTTTCTATATCCTGTTTCTAGGGAGCAGTCACACCTGCTCACAGAGAGGGGTATTGCACAAAAGCATGGACACTGTGCAGGGATTCAGAGGAAACTAAACATAAATTTATTCTTCTCCCAGGTGTCTTCAAGGTTATCAATACTTTAGTGACATCTAAAGTCCAAAATGTCCTTTATTATTATTATATATGTCCTTTCGTGTATGGAAGAGATTCCTAGGGTGCACATAGTTAACTCCTACACCACAGTTGCTCTTAATCTGTGTACTTGTGAAACTAAAAAGACAAGTTTTATAATCCAAACATATCCAATATTCAGTGATAGAATAGGCACAATGTAAAAAGCTATCAGCATTTTGATTTAAAAAGAAGGAGATTGAAGCCTGGCAGTGGTGGTGCATGCCTCTATTCCCAGCACTCGGGAGGCAGAGGCAGGCGGATCTCTGTGAGTTCGAGACCAGCCTGGTCTACAAGAGCTAGTTCCAAGACAACCTCAAAAGTCACAGAGAAACCCTATTACACATACATACATACAGTGAGAGAGAGAGAGAGAGAGAGAGAGAGAGAGAGAGAGAGAGAGATTGGTGAGGCATATGCAGGCAGTGAGGAGGTAAGAGCATAAGCACTGCTGCAAGTTGGAGACTAGCCTGGTCTAATGAGTGAATTCCAGGCTAATTGAGCTACATATACAGGCTTTTACTCTAAAGAACAAAGCGGGGAGGAAACAGGAGGTTCTAAAACCTCACCATAAAATTAAGAGCTCGTGTTTGGGTTTCAAGATCCAAGTCTAAGTCTCCACAGATATCTCTGTCACCCCTTCCCTTTTTTTAAACCTAGTTTTAGCTTCAGCTCTGCTTTGGGTTTTCCTTTATGTCATCATTGAGAAACAGAAGCTGGAAACTTACTTGGTTCGTAATCCCTGCCATGTCAGGAGAAAACCTGTCTTACTTTGGGGTCTCAGGAAGACCCCAAAAGGGCTTTATTTGACACAGTTAGTTGATCCTTAGATTCTGTGACTAGGATGGTATGTATGATTAGTCATTCTTGGACAAGCAACTAGCTCAAGAATTAATCTTAGGATCACTCTTACTGGAACTAAAATGCACAATGCCCAGTAAAATGTTTAATCATGAAATGAAGAAAATACTGTGGCACTGTGTTTTGAAGGAGAGATTTTCAGATCTAGATTCAAGCAAACAAAATATCATCTACATGCAATTAGTAGTCTAGTTTCTGCTGAATCCCCTCTGTTCCAACTCCTTCATTCATCTCACAATCTGCAATGTGTAGATATAATTCCACCAACTTCCCATTTGAAAGAGTAAGACAAACCAGCTCTATGCAGCATCCCTATTAGAGAAGCAGTCAATGCAGGGAATTGATTTGATGAGAATAAACTTCCTGCTCAACCTGGCAGTCAGCCTTAGATACTCATGATACCAAAACAAGACAGCTGCAGCATGATCTCAGAGGTAAGACTATCACATCACTCTACACAACAATGTGAGATGTGGGGGAAACCAGTAAAGGAAGGGATGCTCAGAATCACAGCCAGAACAGAGACCATTCCCTTAGCTCCACTGGTAGAGGTTCCATTCCCATCAGAAGCTCATCAGCTCACATTTATTACCAAGTTGATCTGTTGTCTGTGGGTTCAACTACAGCCTAGTTCACCTAGCAAATTCTAGATCAGCCAGAGCTACACAGACCCTGTCTCAAAAGAATCAAAAGAATCAAAGATAAAAGAAAACCCTCCCCTTATGAATATCTGTATGAACAAGTTAGAAACCAAATGGTTACACATTTCATACAAATCTAAGTATTTTTTAGGTTAAAAGCTCCTGGAAAATTCCCCTTGGTAACTGCCTGGTCATCAGGCAGGTGCCTTTGAAGTCACCAATGGAACAAGCAGGAGCTGAGATTTCTTGAAGGGACATATATTCTTTATTTCCCTTATTTTCACTTTTTGGTCTGGTTAGCTCCTTTTTGATGTTTGGAGTCTACCTGAAATTTCACCTCCTTAGAGAAGCTTTCTCTGGACTGTCCGTCCTCTGAGAGTCTGATCTCTCCTTTTTAGTCAGTGTCTGAAACCTGTTGAAGTTCATTGCAGTTCACACTTAGAGTATTGTTAATTTTCTTGTTTTCTAAAACTTTCTCTGACCCCACATTATGCAGGGATGACATTCTTTTGATAATCACATTCCTTAGTACTCAACACAATGTCTAGTGTGTGGTTACCATCAATGAATATTGGATGGGAAGAACACCTAACTCCAGTAGTTAAGACCTTGTCATTGTTAATGGAGGTTCTACAAGGACTAATTCTTTCTATTATCACACAGGGTAAAAGAAACTGTTTTTTATATGAAGCCTAGAAAATAAGTAAACATAAATTGATAATATTATTTGATAACTTTAACATTGGAAGTTCTAAATACAAAAGATTTTTCCTAGGGTACTTAGACTTTTCTCATTTTAAAAGTATGTACTCAGTCATATATGGATTTTAGACATAAAGCAAAGGATTACCAGTCTACTATCCATACTGCCAGAGAATCTAGGAAACAAAAAGGACCCTAAGAGAGACATACATGGTCCCCTGGAGAAGGAGAAAAGGACAAGATCTCCTGAGAAAATTGGGAGCATCAGGGGAGGGGAGAGGGAGTTAGAAGAAAGAGAAGGGGAGAAGAGGAGGGTAGAGGAGGACATGAGGGAGCAGGAAGATCCAGTCAGGGGAAGGATAGAGGAGAGCAAGGTAAGAGATATCATAATAGAGGGAGCCATTATAGGTTTAAAGAGAAATCTGGCACTAGATGACCCCAACTAAAAATCTAAGCAATAGTCAAGAGGCTACCTTAAGTGCCCTTCTCCAATAATGAGATTGATGACTACCTTATATTATATCCTAGATCCCACAGCTAAACACTGGGCCAAACTCCTGGAATCCAGTTGTAGAGAGAGAGGAGTAATGAGCAAAGGGGGTCAAGACCAGGCTGGAGTAACCCACAGAAAACGCTTACCTGAACAATAGTAGCTCATGGACCCCACACTGATAGCTGGGAAACCAGCATAGGACCAATCCAGACACCTGAATATGGGGGTCAGTTTGGATGTCTGGACAATCTACGGGGCCTCTGGTAGTGGATCAGTATGTATCCCAAGTACACGAATGGACTTTGGAAGCCCACTCCACTTAGAGGGATACTCTCTCAGTCTAGAAGCATGGGGGAGGGTCTAGGCCTTGCTCCAAATGATATGATAGACTTTTAAGATTCCCCCATGCAAGGCCGCACCCTCTCTGGGGAGCAGAAAGGAAACAGGGAAGGGATAGAAGGTTGGTGGGGACATGGGAGCAAGGAAGGGAGAGGGAACTGGGATTAACATGTAAAACAAGCTTGTTTCTAATTTAAATTTTAAAAAAGGAAAAAAAAGGTATCTCCTCTAATAGAACAGCTCTCACCTGAAAAATCAATGTTATCAAAAGCATAAAATAAAAATGTTTAATTCCCTTTCAAACCTGTGTTAAATTCAACACAAATCAATAAAACATTTTTCAAGGCCAGGAGGGATCCATTTCATATTTAGAAGGCAAGTCAATGAATAAGAATATATCCTACACTGTACTTAATTTTAAAAAACAAATGAGCATTTTATTCTGTGGTTAATGTGTTATAATAATGAAGTCTTCTTTACAACCCAAGACCAAAACAATGTAATGGCACAATAAAGCACATTTTGTTGTTTTTGTTTGTTTTATTTTGTATAGTCTTCATATACCAGTAAAAATAAACTCTTTAATAAATAAATATATATAATAAATATTTGTAAATTGAAAAATGTATAAATAGGTCCATTCTTCTAAAAGAACTGTTCCATCTTGGTGTGGCATATTTTGTAATTCAAAGTCATCTAGAATTTTGATTTTTTGTTTTGTTTTATGTATAATGTTATTAACCTGCAGATTTCTACAAGGTCCTCAGAATTTATGAGGCAGTATTATGTCATCTCAATCTACTTCTTCAACATGAAGTATCTCTTCTTAAAGTAACTGTCCAAGTAAACATTATCCAGAGAGGTGAGGCATAAGCAGCAAGGTTCACATTATCCACAGATTAGCTGATTTCAGCTTCAATCAACTAGTAAGACTGAGCCAATGAGTCTGAGGAAATAGAATCCATTTATGAAGAATGATCTTGCTTTGCTTCAAGTTAATTTCTTATTCTCAATATTCTTCATAAATATAGTCTCTCAGTGAAAAACAGACTGTAATGTTCTGAACATTTTCTTCAGTGTTATTTAACTGGCTCTGGGTTGATCAAGTGTACATCAGTAGGTCTTTGTATAATTCTGGAACTCTTTCTGGGTCCACTGGTCTTGGTAAGAAATGGGTGAATTTCTGATGTCTTTTGGACCTGGCACCATCTCTTGGAGTTCCATCTTTGTTAAGTGCTACAAAATACCTTCGGCCAGTGTCTCCATGTTTATATATGTTGGATGAATAGGTATTATACCAGTTCTCTTCAAATTGCTCCCTAAAGATGCATTCAGAAGTCAATTTCTCCTTTAAAAAAAGAGAAAAGAGAGAAATACAGCATTTTAGAAATGCCTTCAAAATAAGTTCCCCATAAAAGTCTCAATTTTCTATATTATGTCTTTGTTTATAGCTATATTCTAGTAAAGTTAAGTTATAGTGTTTTGTTCATACATCATATACAAATTTTTCCTCAATATCACTTTATCCAGTAGTTCAAGGAACTTTAAACCAAATATTCCAACTGTTGATTTTATTTTCAAATATGCAATTCATTTTTTGAGCTTTCCTGTGCTCTGTATTATCACCATCCTGCCACCATCACTAAGTGGGGCTGTAGTTTATCTTGTCCCATCATGAGATAGATACCAAAGTCACAAACATTAAATCTCTGCTATCAAGTTGGGATAGTCAAGATCTTGCTACAATTTAAATTCCTAACCAAAGTTCATCTCTTCAAATCAGATATCATCTTATAAATGTATTATTCAATGATAAATTCCCCATGATTGGCTTCTGAGTATGTTATTATTAATATCAAGGAAAATGAAGTGGAAGTCCAATGGTTTCTTATATTTTCAAAATATTCTCTCTCTCTCTCTCTCTCTCTCTCTCTCTCTCTTTCTCTCTCTCTGTGTGTGTGTGTGTGTGTGTGCATGTGCGCGCACACACATGCATATGTGTGTCATATATACATCATATATACATATATTTTAAAGGTGAGATCAGAATTGTTTATTCCAACACATACTGTGAATATTGTGTGTATGTGCTTTCTCAAAATTCTACTAATTGTTTTGTAATTCTGTCTTCATATCACCAGACATTGCATCCTTTTTGTGTTTTTCCAGAACTGACACCCAGTGTTCTATTTCTGGTAGGAATGATCAAAATATAGAGGAATCGGAAAGACTCAGGACAGTGGCCAGGAAGACCAGGTGAGATTATGGCAATAATGGTTGAAAATTTTAAAAATAATGCTGAATGGCTGTACTATGACCTCAACACACTTAAATTTCGGATATTGGTTTCTAATTTTTACATATAAATGTGTAAATATATAATTTATGTCATTCACAAATAATGTATTTTGATAGAAATTTTAATTAAAATCATTATTTCAAGAATTATAATAATAATTGAAAATGATAATACATACGGATCCATAGAGTTCTCCTTTGTCATTCATTCCAAGGTAGAGGCCACTGTCCACACCTCTGATACTGACTAGTCCCACGGCCACACTGATGAATTCCAGGATACCTGAAGTTAAAAACAAAATAAAGATTTGGATTAATGAACATATAACTACAGGAAGGACAGTGATAAAGATCAACACATTTAAGCATTCAACAAATAAATGGAAGTTACTGTCATTGTGGATGTATAGCTGGCAGAGTTATTCCTGGTCTTCCATGGCTTGACCAGTTAATTACAACCATTTTCCATGAATTATTTTTATTTCATTTACAATAATCAGACCAATCACATATACTTCTTATAGGTATAGCATTATTTTGAAGCTTCTAAAAGGCAGCTTTTGGGCTGGAAAGGTGGCTCAGCAACTAAGAGCACTTGGAGCTTATGTTGATTTTTTTCTATCAACTTGACACAAGCTAGAGTCCTCTCAGAAGAGGGAGCTTCAATTAAGAAAATGCTTTGACTCAGGTTGTCCTATGTGCAAAGCTATGGTATTTTCTTGATTGATTATTGATATGGAAGGGCCCAGCCCAATGTGCAGTAGGATCCCCAGGCAAGTGGCCCTGGGTGCTGTAAGCCATAAGAAGCAAGCCAGTAAGCAGCATTCTTTCCTCAAGGCTCCTGACCTGCCTTCCTTCAGTAATGACAAATGAAATAAATCTTTTCCTTCCCAAAGCTTCTTTTGGTTCCTTTTTTTTTTCCATTTTTCAAGACAGGGTTTCTCTGTGTAGCTTTGGAGCCTATCCTGGCACTCGCTCTGGAGACCAGGCTGGCCTTGAACTCACAGAGATCCACCTGCTGATTGCTGGGATTAAAGGTGTGCACCACCAACACCCGGCTTGGTTCATATTTTATAACAGCCATCAAAAACCTAACTAAAATATTGTTCTTGCAGAGGACCCAGGTTTGGTTCCCAGTGTCCAAATGGGAGAGAACAACTAGCTACAACTCCATTTCCAGAGGATCTGACACCCTCTTCTGGCTTCTGTGGGCACTGCAGCACACATGTTGTCCACAGGCATATATAAAGACACATATAATATTTTATTTTAACATAATAAAAATGTTAAAAATAAGAAGCTAATAATTAATTTTTACCTCAACTTTAAAAAAAATCTCTGATAGTAAGGAGGGAAGATATCTTTACTCCCATGTTACATAGACAGAAACTGGGGGTTGAAAATATTGACTGAAATGCCTTTGTAACATTATCATGGGACATGGCCTTTGTAACTGATAAAAATGATGCTTGCCCTAATCTAATGGTTCTACTTCACAACATGTGGAATTACAGTAGTTTCAAGACTTTGTAGATTACTAATGTGCTATGTCCTATTCCACAATATATAAAAATAAAATGTGCAGTCCAGAGAAGTAATAAGGCTTACAATTCACTATATATATGTATATGTATATGTATATTAGCCAAATACCAAGAGTTTAGCATATAAATAGATTTTTATATGCATAATTTTCTGTAGTTATTTTGATGTATTAAGAGAAAGACTAATTTTGAAAGCTCTCAACTTAATACACTAACATACTACAGTTCTAAAAGATACACTGTCTTTCCATGTGACCTTTTTTGCTGTACCCACTAACCTTTAGACTAACGATGCCTTTTTCTGGTTCTTTCCTTAGACTGCTGGACAAGTGTTACCATACATACTGTGCTTGGTTGGATCTGCCTTCCTTAATAGCTTTTTGCCTCCACCCCACCCTAAGCTTTACAAATAGCATAAATGTGTACCATTTAGCCTGACTCTTGCTCTTAAGTCACTTCTTGATTTATTGTATAAGTTCCTGTTTGGACACGTGATATCCCCAAAGCCAAGAGAAAGTAAGAATCTGACTATTTGCTGATAAGGAAAGCTCTCTTCTACCCAGAGATTAATTTGCTCTTTGGCAAAACAAAACAAAAACAAAAACAAAAAAACATAGTTTCTTAGTAAGACAGATAAGCTCTTTGGAACTGTTAGGACTTTCAGACTACTAGAACTCTAGAGCTATCAGGGATCTTACAGCACAAAACACTACTAAATACCCTGTAAATGGCTTGAAAGAGCCAGTTTTCCTAAGAGGCTAAAGCAGGGAAGGTAAGATGCAGCAGGAAGGTCTAGACTCTACAAGACAAAAGCACAATGGCAACTGTGGCATGGGGGAGTGGAGGAAAATCACACCCATTGCTAAGCTTCTCAGTGAAAGATCCATGTAAGGAACAAAAATATAAACCTGAAACATAATTGACATAAATATATATAAATGGAATCTCACCCAGGATATAATTATAAATGGATAATTACTTTAAATTATATTGAATATTCACTCAAATTAAAAAGTATGTGTGGCTGTTGTGCACCCAATCTTTCTACCCCAGGACACACTCCACCTACACATTAAGTCTTATCTTAAGATAATGCTGTCCAAAATATGTAATTACATAAGTAAAATGATTACACATGTCTTTAGAATAATTATATCCAATAGTTTTAACTTTATTAAACAACATGTAAAACCTTATACATAATCAGGCATAAATGATTTTGCAATGTTTCATGGAACTGATGGGGGAAAGATTATGTGTGTTTTTGTGTCCCTCCTAAAGATTTTAGCCACACTTTTAAATTCTGATCCTTTTTCTCGACAAAGAAATAGTATACCACATAGTAATTTGCAATCGTTTGATTCTTAAATGAGATTTGACAAGTCTTTCTTATTTATAATATGAGGTGGCAACTAAGCTAATTCTTTTCCAAAGAATAGACATGAAGCACTTTCCTTAAGAGGTAATCACAGATTTTAGGTAGATTTTCTAATGCCCAGTGTCCCAGAAAAAGACTTGGAGGTCCTTTGTCTTTCTGGTATCATTTTCAAAGCCAGCCTTTTCTCAAATCATAATAAACAGGTGAGTCAACCCACAATGCAACCACATCAGACAAATCCATGGAGAATAGAGGAGAATAAAGGAAAAGGCTTTAAATGAATATGTTTGATCTCAGGCTACACTTTTTTCCAAAGGAATGATTCTATGTTTACGTGTTAGGTAAAGTCTTCCTTCTATACTACTGTGCAGAGAAACTCTGCTAGAGAGATTCAGGTAGCTCAGATGGGATATTATTTTAGCCTCACTGAGAACTCTGTTTATGTTCAATTGATATGGTTTTAAATTTTTTAAGATTGAGTTTTTATTTGTTGTGTTCAAATTACTATAAAATTATTTTACTGGTATTTAATATCTTAAATAGCCATCCTTGATTTGGCGAGCCCCCGTGGAGGGCCCTATCCTCTATTGGGAGCAGAGGGAGGAGGGGAATTGGGGATTGGGGGAGGAGGGAAAGGGAGAAGGGATTGACATGTGAAATTATAATTTTGTAAAAATAAAATTAAAAAGTAGCCATCCTTGGGGTTTTTTTCAAAACTCTTATTTTAACACCACAGAAGTATTTTTTAATGGATATCATTTAATACTTAGTTATATAGGTACTAGCAAAAGAGGATGGAGAAGCACACTATGTTGTATACATTAAATATTACCTTGTCCCATATCCTCTGGCAGTCAGTAGTGATGTCTAGGCCACTCAGAGCACTTTAATGTATCACAAAGAGGTTGTTCCTTTAGGTTCACATACTAATATGTGTTGTTCTCCTTTCACATAATCATCATTATTTTGTTTCTCTACACAACACCCCCACAAAAGCATGACTTAAGTCAACACAGAATCAAAGTTATATTTTTCTAAACAATCATAGAAGCTTTACAGTGTACTAGCAAGAATATACCACACCCATTCCTAAAGGATCAGATTTCAGTACAGCTCAATGAAGGTTACATGTCTGCAAGTGTTCACTTATCTCTTCCAGTAGAATCTGTCTTCCGAGGAAACAGAACACTGCAGTGGAAGAGATGACAACTACAGTACAAGGGACTTGTAGGAAGAATGTCGTTACTCCATTGGTATGAGGGAGAAAAGTTAGATATGCTTACATTTAGCCCCCCAGCTCCTTTGACTAAAAGAGCTACCACATCTGGGGAGATTTTTATGTGATGAGTCGAGTCCAGTCATCCTTAAGGGACGAGAACTGGGCCGCCTGGTGTCAGCAAATTCTTTAGATTCATAATACCAGCCTCCTCCATTTAAAAAACACTTTCCAAAAGTGACCCCAGGTTGGCCACTAGGTCATGACACTCTTACTCACAGTCAGTGGGAATTTGGGAGAGATCAGTGGAAGCTGCAAACACGTGGGTTTTTAAAAGTCCGTTTTCTAAGCCCTTAAGTGCTGCCAAATGCCCACCACATGCCTACTCTCCCATCTAAGGTTACACGTGCTCCAGGAGTGGAGATTTACACTTCTGCAGAGTTTTAATGAGCATTTCAAGTGCAAAAGGAAACGGGAGTGTGCGGATGAGATGGGGGTGAGACAAGAAAGAGATGAGATTGTCCATAGTGAAAAAAGAGCTGTGTTGTGCTTCCTCGTGCTGGTGACAAATAAATGATATTGCGTATTTTTTAATGTAATAACACCCTCTAATGACATCACAGGTTAAATAAGGAAAGTTCCTTGAGCATGTTAGCAGCAGGTTAACTGATGGGGAAAAAAAAAAAAAAGTGTAGCCACAGGGGAGGGAAGTATCCCAGGATATTAGAATCAGAAGGCCCCTTTAGCAAACCATAGGGTTTAACCTATCTTGTCTGTTGCTCAGGCAAGAAAGCAGGACTCACCGAGGAGGGTGCTTGCTAGTTACCTGGCTGGACCGGGAGTAATTAACTGTAGAAACTGTACTGATCTAATCTAAAATTTAACCCCTTCTGCTCCCGGGCACTGCTGGCTGGCTGTATATAGAAAAGATTCTCTGTGTTCCCAGCCGTATCTTCTTTCGCTTTCCCATTTCCTCTTACCTAAGGTCAATACCAAGATCTCTGCTTTCGCAGATTTTCGCAATTTCTAAAGGGAATCTTGGCCAGGTGGGCATGCTCGGTCCTTCTCCCTCCTCCCTCTCTCCCTCTCCCTCCACTCCCCACCCTCTAGCCAGCAGCTCAGAAAACTGTGCTCAGGCAATCCTCTAAAGAAAAACTATGAAGATTGACATCCTGTTTAAGAACCATCCCTTCAGAGTGAGAATTTGGAGGACTAGCTGCATAACTGCGGGGCATGTTTTAAGAACTCGTTATTAATTTTCAAAGAATGGACACAGAATTACAAGTGTGGAAAGAAGAGAACACGATGTAGGAACCTCTTAAAATAATAAAACTGCCTGGGAAGCAAGAACTGCAGGGCAAGGCTGGGGGGAGGAGGGCAGGTTTCCTAGTCCAAGACTTGGGGCCCCCAGGCAGTAAAAAAAACAGAGTAGCATCGTACCCCGCGGTAAAGAACCCATCCACGCTTTCTCCTCCCACACCCTGCAAGAGGAGTTGCGCTCCTCCATGGCAGAACAATTTCTCACAAGCCCAGAGTCTGGCACCTCTCACCCAATGGGTTCAAGGGTCTCAGGTAGCAGGCAACCCAGGCTCGCTCCGCCAGCGTAGAGGGAGGGAAGTGAGAAGAGGATGAGAGTTGAGGGCGCAAGGGTGGGATGCTTGCTTGTACCTACCGAAGAGACTGTGATCCTGCCGGGTGCCCTGCACACTGCCGTCGGGCAGAATCTGCAGGTGGAAGCCAGCTCTGCAGTAAAGCTGCCGCCGGCGCAGGATGCCATGCAGGTGCGCCAGCTCCACGGAGCCGGGTCCGCCACCTCGGGCACCCCGCTCCAACGCGCCCCGCCGCTCGCCAAGCAGAGGCGGCCGCTCCCCCGCAGGAGGCAGCAGGAAGTGTGACCCCACCTGCTGGCCCAAGCCCTCCAGGCCGTGCAAGAAGGCCCCGCCTTCGGTTAAGGGAGCCATGGAGTGGCCCGATAGGAAGCTTGAAATTCCGGAAAACAAGAGAACCCCAATAAAAAGGGGAGCGAGGGTGGCGAGGCTAATGTAGAAAACTTATAGCAAAAGAGGCACAAAAAGTTAAAGCTGGGTTACTCCTGTGAGGTCTCTGCAGGGACAGTGCACTGCAATGTCTTGGAAGCGATCTTCTCTCCTTGGGTAGGTGAGAGCTGGCTGCTGGCCTTGCAGAAACATCTAGAGCTGAGGCTGTTGATTTGGGGCTGGGGCTGGGGGCTGGGGCTCCAGCTCAGCAAACTGATCAGATCAGAGTCCTGTGTACACATACACTCCCGGTATATATGCGGGTCCTCTTGACATATGCTAATCAAGTTCTTTCATGCGCGCCTAGGAGGTTGGTTTTGTTTGAAATCTTAAACCAGCCTCCTCTCAACACGTTTTGCTCTTCGGAAGTGACTAACCCCAGCACTTGGAAAACTCATTCCTGAGCTTGGCCAAAGTCAGTCAGCCAACAAATTCAAGGAGGCTCACCCGACCCCCTGGTATTCTGGATTGTCTCTAGGACAACCACGATGTTGTCCGGCCGCTGCTGTACAACCACCTTTGATGTGAGCTCATTTGCAGAGATAGATCGCTGGGAGAAGGAGCCAAGCTTACAGAATACAGAAGGGGGAGGGGGCACAGAACCGGAGATGGGTGGGAGGAGGAAAAAGAGAGTACAAGAGAATTGGACTCCTTGGGAGCTGCTGGGAGCCTACAGTGGACAGGTGCAAAGAAAGGCAAGGAGGGAGAACGGGAAAAGGCGTTACCCGAGGCTTAGGCCTGCCTAGACACACATGAAAGGAAAATCAAAGCTTTGACAGTTTAACTCACTAATTTTAAAACACTAATAAAATGTACAGGCATTACTCTTTTCTTTTATCATTTAGATGGGGGATTTTCTTTACATAATCAAGCTTAGGTTGGGAACACCCTGCCCCCCTTCTCAAGTTCTCTTTAATGTTTATCTTAACTCAGCAAATGATATAACCAAGATTGCTTTATATCTATGTGGAACTCATAAATTGTGTGTGGAGGTCCTGGGCTTCTCATTGGAATAATAAAATAGCACAGTGCAATCATGAATCGAGGGATTAGGAGTACATCTGAATAGGCTGGTTCATAGTCTCTTAGTTTGCTGTGGATACAAAGTAAGTGTCTAGAATAGCATAATCAATGATGGAACCCTGGGGGCTCTTAGCCAATCTACGAGCACTTCCTATTTCTTCACTGCAATTTCCTAGAAGCTAGCCTTATTTTTTTTTTAATTCATGCTCTAAGCACACAACTAAACAGAAAGGTTCTTGATAAGTGCTTGGGATTTCAAATATGGCTGGTAAAAAGTTAGGAATACCGAAACATATCTACAGACTAAAGATTGGCCTGAAGGAGTTAGACATATATGTCTACTTAAATGCTAAAATTTGGAAGACTAGCTAGCCTCCAGAGCTAGCTAGTGAAATGTGTAAGTGGCAGAGAAGTTGAGAATCACTGGTCAGACTTATTCTTTCCCTATGCAGAGAGTGTTTAAAGAATAGCTAATATTAGACTTTCAGTCTTGTTTTGTGCTCTATTCAGCAAAAGCCTAACCTTGAGAGCTCAGATGGATTTGACTGGTTTATTTTATTTTCTCTAAATGTCTCCTCCCCCATCCTCTTCTTCCTCCTCTTCACCTTCTCTCCCTCCTCCTGCCCCCCTCCTCCTCCAGCTCCTTTGGATAATTAATTGGCAGGTGCTTTAAAGGAGGTAAAGTTACGCGTTTTTGTCACTACAGGCCTAACTACTGACCCTTGTGGAACCCAGCTATAAAAGAGCCCTTAGAGCAAGTGATTTACTGTTGATAGACACAAAATAAAACTACAGCCCATGCTATAAACAGCAAGCAGATCAATTACTTTAGAAACATACATTGGTAAGTCTCTTTTAAAGGTTGCATCAGGTAAATGTCATATTATTTTACCTTTCCAATAACAGCAGCCTGTTTTGTGGTGGGACCCCCAAATCCACCATAATCAAGATTTCAAAGCACATCTGTGTAAACATTATCGCATCAGTGTAAAGCATCAGCCAATGAGCTTTTACTTTGAAGCAAATCTTCTTAATTGCAGTGTTAAATCAAAGAAAGTTAGATCAAAGTTGTGTGAATCTCATAGCGGGATAACTCAGGTAGCCAGAGTTTATACATTGATCACTTTTAAAGAGGGGATGCTTAAAGGTTTTAAACTGAGATCAAGTGCCTTTTAATGAGGTTTGTTTCAAGATCTAAGTTCTATGCAACATATAACACTGTTAATATTCCACAATGAATATATTATTGCCACCTGCTCCTAGAACTATTGGTTTAGTATGTATTTCCTCACATGAACACTTTCAATGGTAGTGTGTAATTTATAGCTATTAGAATTTGTAAATCTCTTGCATTGCACACACATGCACTGTTGTGCACGTGCATGCACACACACACACACACACACACACACACACACACACAACTTTTCAAGCATAGTCACCAAAGCCCAAATACTGTAATAACAGACCTCCCTTGTCTTTGTGTGTCATAGCATTTTTGTGTGTTTTTCTATCACTACAATAACCCAAAGAGATAGGCATAACCAGGTTATTGAGGGGGAAAGTCTTGTATTCTACTGGGTTTTAGTTCAGAGTCAAACATCATTTATTTGTAAAATAAAGACAGCACCACTCCATAGTTCACTGTACTCAAGGTTGCTATGAGACATAAATGTGAAAATACACACTGAAAAGAAGTTTTAAAACTATAAGGCTTCCTCTGTGTATAAAGTCCAGCACAACTTCAACTGTTGGGCAGGCTTTTTGTTTTGTTTTGTTTTGTTTACTTTGTAATTCAGCAAATGCAATTTGTCTGAAATGCAAAATAAACTTTTTTTTAAAAACCCAAACCAAAGCTTTAATGTACAAGTCTTGAATGGTGCTTAATGCTATGTTATAAAAGACCAGAATAGAAACAAAAAGATAAGGATTTCTTTTGTTTGTTCTAGTCATGTGACAGGAAAAGATAACGCTCAAGTTTTTTTTGCACATGCTGTGATGATATCATGGGAAGTTAAATAATTTTGAAGAGTGTTTTACAAGGGTACATTATTCAACGTTTAAGTATACACTGCAATCTAATCAACGTTACCTATGCTTCCTAGAGACCCCACTTGCCTTGCTGTTATACAAATATATGGTATGATTTTCCTTACACAAAATGCAGTTTCAGTTTTCCAGACCATATAATCCTATACACCTTTTCAGTCAGCAGACTCTTGGTAAACATTTGTTTTTATACATTCGATGATTCTATATGTGCTTCACTTAAGAAAAAATAGCTCCCTTAAAAGTCGTGATTCACACCTTAAGTAAAACAAAACTCCCTATGTGCAACATTTATAAAACATTGGTAGCAACATAAATTTCTGTATATAATAAACGATTGAATAAATTATGATAAAAATAATGAGACATTATATAGAAGGGTCAAATGAAAAATATATATGTATTAGTATCTCCATTTTCTTTAGAATATAAATTAAAAAGTGTACAACCGGAGATTATATCCAGAGTGCTATCTTTTCTATAAGAAGGATTAATTAGAAACTAATTAATTAATTAGAAACTAATAAAAAGTAGATGGAAAAGTGATGATGATTCTCTTAGAACTTTTTACAGAACTTCAGCTTTTTCAAAGTAAAATAAAATATGCAAAGGTGATCAGGTTAGAATAAAATCAGGAACAAAAGAACCTAGCTGTATAGGTTAAAGCAAACAAACTGAGAAGCACACAAAGAAAGACATTACTTTCAGAAAATAAGCAGCTCTGCAAAAGCTGTTATTTGGTATATAATCCACCTAAATAAATAAACATTGAACTTCAGTGAGAAAGACTCTTTTTGCCAGAAGTACTAGTTAAAGAATGGCAGGACTGAAGAAATGGATAAATACACTGAGGATGAGAGAGGGGTTTACATAAGTTAGGACGGAAGACTAGAATTTACTCAGTCGTGTTGAATTACAAGTAGTTACCAGTATTAGCTTGCTTTCCTCTGTTTCTCCCTTTCTCCCTTCTTTCTCCTTCCTTCCTTCTCCCATTCTTGTCCACCTGTACCCTATGCGGTGTGTGTGTGTGTGTGTGCTCTATCCACTAAAAAAGACCTAGATGCAAACATATGCCCAGACAATGAGCATACCTAACATCTAGACCTTGGTCTTTTTAATTTATTCACATCCTGAAATGAGTGGGAAACTTGAAGAAATTAAAAATTGGTTCTAGGAGGCATCTTTTTTGTGCCAGCTATGAAGGAAATACAATTATGAGAATGTAGAAAGGGAAATTAAGTTTAATGAAATTTGATCATCAAAATAAATGATAGAATAAGATGTTTATAGAAGAAAATACGAATATTCACCAGCAACTGTTTAAGGAAACAGTAAGAAGATAAAAGGGAATCTTTGAATGCATAGTAAAGTTAGATAGTAAGTTTTAATTAAAACCAGCAACAAGGACAGCTGAAGAAGTGGGAGTGGGGGGTGAAACATATCTGTTGCACAGAGAACTATAATACAGTACATTAATCTAGTAACTACTGTTCTACCTGAGTAATTATCACAGCAATGTGATAGATAAACTCCAGTTTCCTCTTTTGCCTGTATTAGTCAGTTACCTGAGAGAAAAGTTTAAGTGAGGACAGCTTTCTTTGGCTCCTGGTTTCAGAGGGTTCAGTCTTTAGTAGCTTGGCCTCAGGTGTCTGGGTAGAACATGGTAGTCATGTACGCATGTGGTGGATGAAGTTTACCTCATGGCAAATGGGATGCAGAGTGAGAGGAGATAAAGAAAGGGTCCAAGGCAAAATCTAGCCCCTGAAGACATTCCCCTACTTTCTACATTTTACTACTTCCCAATAATACTGTCATGTTATGATCTAAGCAAGGAATCAATCAGAGCTGCCATG